CAGAAGCACATGAAAAAAGAACTTTAAGATGGAAAGTGAAAAGCGGAAGACTTTATAAGGGAGTCAGTACAGTTACTGCTTAATGATGTTAGTTATTTCATTAGTGTTAGCAATGGTATGTCTCTCCGTGAAGTACGTTTGGCGGGACAATCTGCCTTTTACAATCGTCTCACTTGAAATTGTTCGAACAACGGTTGATATGTATGTGGGAAATGTGATAGTCACGACGACATTACTAAACTTACTTGAGTCGAGATCATTAAATTTGGCCTTGCTTTGGTAAAAATGCTGAGAAAAGATAGAATGACTTCTTATGATTGTTTTTCCTTTTGGTTTGCAATTTAGTTTTTTGAAAGTCAAAGCAAAATCTTCCCGATTCATATTACATCAGAGTGTTTTTGTGGGAGAGCACATTTGGTATTGCATGCCGTTCTTGTGACTTCATTTTTTTTTTTTTTTTTTTTTTTTTTTTTTTTTTTTTTTTTTTTTTTTGCTTTTCTTGTTGAAAGTCTGTTTTATCTGCCGATTTTATAACACGAATAATATACGCATGTCCTCTACATACCAAATCGAATATTATGCAAGTATGTTTATTGAAATCGCAAAGCGATTCTAAAGCAAGGACTTTTCTATAGTAGAAAGAAGAAAAAGTGAGATGAAAATTTTAAAATACTATAGATAAGGCAAACGCCCCGATATGATTTAACAATAATCAAAATTAGAAAATTAGAAAACTTTGGAAATTTACGAAAACACAAGAAGAAAAAATTATGAAAAAATATTATTCGTTATATCATATCTTTCAGCTAAAGCTTGAAAGGTCAGCAAGGCTAAACATTATATGTTATGATCAATGCATTGTAATGTGAAGTGCCTCGCAACTGCTACTACTAGTATTACTACTACTAGTACTACTACTACTATTGCTACTGTATATGATACTAAGATGATAATAAAAAGGAGTAACAAACATTTTAATTAAATTTACTTCATATTACGACAAATAATCTGCAAATTATGTACAAGTAATAGTCGATTCGGAAATTGCGTATAAATGCATGTGGGCGTATATGTTTACACCTTTGTTACAACATATGTTATTATTGTTGTTACTTATTGTTACACTTGTAAATTTCTCCATTTGCTAAGGATTTGATTTTCTTCTATAAAGTGCATTCGACCATAAATGCACATAATCCTATATGTAAGTGCGTATACAATGAATAGATGAAATGGTATGTGCCATGCGTCTAGTGTAACTAATGAATTGCAGTTGCTTTGGCAATTTAATGATTATCTCACAGAGATATATATAAACATACTCAAACATTTATATGAACCATGCAACGTCATATAATGCACGTAGGTAAGGTAAAGTAAGAGGTATGTCGGCAATTATAATAAATGAAAATTTCTCTAAGGACAATTGAGTAAAGTAACAATGAAAATAGTATAAGGGAAAGTTTGACTAGATGGCAGCGGGTGTAAGATAAACTGATGAGGAAATATAACGAAAGATATTAAAAGATAGAGAGAGATAGAGCGCAAGATAGAGCAGGATGAGGACGAGGAGAAGAAGAAGAAGAAGAAGAAGAAGAAGAAGAAGAACTTTAGACAGTGTTCATATGTTCATATATATGTGTGTGGGGATATGTGTGTGTGTGTGTGTGTGTGTGTGTGTGTGTGTTTAAACAATGATTTTGTATGTTAATTAACATCAAGTGTTGGTGGATTACCTCTCTTACGTCATGTAGCAATACACTTAAATCTTGGAAGAACTTGGGCGCTCGACAGCAGTCCAAATATGAGTATAGAACATTTAAGCTTTTTATCGCTCACACATCAAATAATAATGCATTTCTATCCGCATTCAAAATATCGTCACTAAGCATAAACTTAAATGTGCAAATGCTGTAAAATTCAAATGCGTTAACATAATGCGGATTAATTAAACAATATGTTATTTTAAGCTGAGAAAGTAAGGCGAGGGATGAGACAGAATTTTTTCCTGCGTATATACTCTGTTTTTTTTTTTTTTTTTATTTCGAACACATTTACTTATTGAGAAATTGAAAAAATGAAATTTTATGTTTATTAAAGAAACATTCATTTTGAAGCCATAATGAACCCAAGAAGAAGTAAAGCAAAGCATTCTTTCACCATAAAGTTTGCCTTAACAACCACTTAAAAGGCACCTGCTCCTTGAGTATATTGAGAGTTACTTGCATGCTTTCCTTTATAATTTATTTGTTGTTTGTTTCCTTTTATTTACATATCTACACACAATTCCTACTATTTGGTTTCGTTTTAAATCTATTTTCTGCTTTTTACCATTTTTTTCCTTTTCCTTTAACTTTTTCTTTTTTTTTTTTTGTTTTTCGTTTGTTTGTTTTTTCTCTCGTTTCTCTTCCGCAGTATATCCGCCATCCATTAAACATCATTAAAAATTTAATATTCTTCATTATTTTCTTTATCCGCCTCTACTTATGATTACTTTCATTTCTTTTAACAGTGTTTTTTCTTTCTTCGTTTTTTTTTTTTTTTTTTTTTCTTTACAGACCTCTGTTCCGTGGAAGAGAGAAAAAAAAAACAAAATAAAATAAGAATTCTTTGGTAGCATATTTAAATTTCATTATTTTTATCTTTACCAGACGAGAATACACAACGTTAGCAACAACTGAAGCACTTGAAAAAAAATTGTAACGTCACGCGTCATTTTGAAATGAGCAGCAGATTTCATTTTCGTCATAACAGAAAAACATTAAATTTTTTTTTTTTTTATTTTATTTTATTTTGTTGTTGTTGTGTAGTGTGGGGAGTGGAGTGGATATTTGTTGTTTGATTTCTGGTTAAACTAAAAGAGCCTTGAAAATAATCTTGAATAGGAAGAAAGCTTGTCGATGCTTGCTAACTAAACAAAAAAAAAAAAAAAAAAAAAAAGAAGCGCGAGAAAGAATTGAAACAAGAAATCAATTATTTGCTTTAATTTTCGATAGACTTTTTTCAATTTACAGCCGATATAGGGAAGAGAGTATAACTTCGCTTTTTGTTTCTTTCGCCCGTTGGCTCAAAAGCATTCATTCCTCTACTTCGTCGAAATTAATCATCCTTGGAATTTCGCTTACGATTTACGAAGGAATTTAATTGAAGTCACGATCTCAAACTAATAAAATAA